CGCACACGCACACGCACACGCACACGCACACGCACACGCACACGCACACGCACACGCACACGCACACGCACACGCACACGCACACGCACACGCACACGCACACGCGCACACACACGCGCACACACACACGCACCCACACGCACCCCCACACACCCACACACCCACACGCACACGCACACGCGCACGCGCACGCGCACGCGCACGCGCACGCGCACGCGCACGCGCACGCGCACGCGCACGTACCACTTGCAGCCCAAACCAGTTGTCGCAGATCAAGCCTGCATGACGGAGACATGGGAACATTTCTATCAATCCCTCGACATCACACCGATATCCTTGGGACCGAACACACCATGGCCAAATCGAGCTGAAGCTGCAGTTCGACTCCTGAAGGCGCAACTCAAGATCATGCTAAGTTCCATCAAGGCAGGCACAGCACCTGCAACACTGAAGAAAGTGACATATAGACGGCTGGTGAAGGCAGCTGCAACTGTCAGGAATCAGACTGTCACCTACGGGGTGTAACACCATTGGAGCTCGCATTCGGAAGACGACCAGCAGATCTCATCCAACTCGATGTCGCAACACCAACTCAGTTGACGATTGACAGGAATGAGGAAGAGCTGACAGCCTGAGACCTTGCTCAAAATCTCCGAATGAGTTCTAAGCCTCTTCAGGTGAAGGACAAGGTGTTTTACTGGCAGGAAGACAAATCCAAGATCCGTTCCGATGGAAGCAAGGGAGGAATATGGCTAAAAGGAAAAGTCATTTCCATCGAAGGAGCAATGGTAGGACTTGATCTTGGGACTCGACTCATCAAGGTTGACACGACGAAGGTCAGAAAGGATGAAACCATCCCTCCGGGAAACCTGGACCTGATCTTCTCTTGCCAGAAGAGCGAGAATCCTTGCAGAAAGAGCAAACCGGCTCTTCTGCCGATACCAAGAAGAAGGAGTCATCCGCACCAGCTCCTAAGCCAAAATCCTCAGTGCCATTACGCATCGCGGCAAAGACAACTCCCACGCCTGCAGCACCTCATCCGGCAGAGAACCTGTTCGTCGAGGACCTCACATCCGTTCCTGAACAAGCACATTGGAATTGTGTACGTAAAGGAAAGATCCACGTTCTCGAGATCTTTGCAGGAAGTGCCAGATTCAGTCAATGCTGCGCACTCACAGGTCTTAAGGTTGGGACTCCCGTAGACATCCGCACCGGATTCGACGTAATGACATCCAAGGACGACACATGGTCATGGAGATCTTCAAGGAGCAAGCACCTGATGTAATCCTCATGGCACCGGTCTGTGGGCCATGGTCAAATATGCAGAACATCCAACAAGACCAACAAAGAGTCTGGGAGAAGCGGAAACGCTATCTTCGCATGGTTGAGTTTGTGGCATCCATTGCGCGATATCAGTTGAAGCACAGAAGATACTTCATCATTGAAAATCCTCAGACATCCAAGATACGGTCTCTGAACTGTATGCAGCAACTATTTTCAGATCCATCCGTGACCTGGGGAGATTTCCATTTCTGTGCATATGGACTGAAAGATCCTGAATCCGGACTCAGAAGTCTCAAGCCCGCGAGCTTGATGCACTGTTTACCTCCCGAGGTAACCACGAACATCAACCCCTCGAGGGAAATGCTGGTACTTTCGGAAGCAGAACCAAACTGGCACAGGTGTATCCTTACCAGTTCTGTCAGGATCTCGCGCACATCCTCCTGCGACACTTGAAGGTGAAACCGCTTCACAACGAGGTGTATCTCTTGGAGGACCTTTTCGAACCATTCACCGTCAAGCAGGTTGACATCCTGAGAAAGGAGATGGAAGCCATTGACAAAGAGTTCAACATGACCAGCAGCAGTCTTGCGGTCAGAATTCAGGACCCCCCGTTCAACAAGGACGTTCAAACCATTGGTCATCCAAGATCCGCTAGTCCAAAAGTTTCAGAAGACGATGAAGCAGTACCCTCCGCGGACTGAAATCGATATCTTCAAACAAGATCCTAATGATTGGCGATGTCAGAACATGTGGAATGGTTGCAAGAAGTTGAGACAATCGTGCATCTCATCCACTCAGTATGATGCATGCACAGCACACGCCCACACCATCGGCATTAACATGCCAATTACGTCACCTCCGGACGATGCGATCATATCCTTCTGGCAACCTGATCAGCTGAATAGAATTTGGGTCTTGCCCGCATCCAAATGCAATTGGGAGAATTATGATCCGAAGACTTGGCATGCAGTGATGTTTTCATCCGTTCATCAGTCATTCTCAGATGCGCCGGCTATCAAGCCGATGCCCATCGAGACGGATCCAACCGATCCCACGGATGAACCTCAACAACCTGACGCACAGCAGCCTCCTGATCAACCGGACCATCCCATGCCTGATCCAAGACCTCCAACGCCACCGCCGGACGAGCACATGTCAGATCCTCCTCCGGATCCTCCACGTCAGCCTGATCATCCCATGCCGCCAGCACCACGTGGTGTATCACCAGACAGTCCAGTGACCAATTCTCCCGACTGTCGTGGTACCTTCGCCACCTGCAATTTTGACGAATCCCGAAGCAGAAGACCACGATGAAGATCTTGAACTGCCAACACTTGAGCAAGAAGAAACAACTGCACCTGTGCAGGGCAGTCCATCCAAGAAGCAGAAAACTGGGAAGAAGAAGAAGAAGAAGCCAGATGACAATGATGAGTCACCTGAGCATTCTCCCAGAAATGAGCCTGCATCTTCATCCAATTTCAATCCGAACAATCCAGTAAACTTGCCGGTACAATACGACAGTGAGGAAGAACTGATCCCTCATGTTCCAACCTCATCCGGCACTGGAAGTTCAGAGATCACGAACCTGATCTCGTTCTCGATGAGGCACACTGGTCATTCATGACAGCCGAGCAAAAGATCTGTGCGAACACCGGATCCTTTACGGTCCCGAGAGATATTGAAGGCAACCCTGTCCTCCTTGGACGCGTGAAAGGGACCTTCAACCCATCGCCCGGATGCGGATTCTCATCAGAAATACACACCGGTTGTGCAAGAACATGACAGACAATGATACTCATCCAAGCAAGAATCCTTGAAGGCTTCATCCACATCCGTGCTTATTGGCAAGAAGCGGAAGGAAGCAACAGCCACTGAGACAAGAGCTTATCAGAAGCAATTCCATGAAGCTAAGCTTCTTGAGTGCAAATCTTGGCTTGATAACGAAGTGTTCGACTTGGTCGACACACGCAAGATTCATGTCAGGAACTGGGTCACCGGTCGCTGGGTCCTTATACCCTGAAGCGAGACAAGGATGGTAACTTCCTAAAGACCAAGGCTTTTTTTGCGGGGCTTCCAAGACAAGCAGAAGAACGATCAGCAGACAGACAGTCCTGCTGCATCCAGGAGTGGCTTCCGCCTTGCAATCCAAGCAGCCGCAAATAAAGGCCGGAATATATTCCACATGGATTTGAAGACAGCATTCCTCCAAGGCGAAGCATACGATCAGACTCGTGACATCATTTGTCAGATCCCTCCTGAAATGTGATATCCACCACACTTTGGAGCGCGCATGAAGAAGCCTGCCTACGGGCTGAATGACGCATCCCGCAGATGG